GACCGGTGGACTTCCCACAGGCATGTCACCAAAGGCGGCCTGACTGCCGCCCTCACAGGGACCAGCAGGGCGCCCCCCGTGGCTTGCCGCCCCAGGCACGCGCTTGGTGCGCTGGTGCCTGGAGTCCCCCCTGTGTAACAACCTATCTCTTGATTTACACTTAGACTGGTCTTTGGGGAAAGGACTGCAGCTTCATTATGTGTTTGCACAGCGACTTGCACATTGATTCTTGGATCTAACACAATCAGACTGCTTAGATGAATAATGTTAGTATTGACAGGATTGGATGGGGGGATGGATAAAACAAAGATTTGTTTTCCTATATCCACATTCAATTTTTTTAAAAAAACAATCTGGAATTGGTGAAAAAGGCAAAAATTTCTCAGGATTTTTTTTTTCAATTTTGTCTTTATTGGTAAATATTTCCCACTTTTGAAAAATATCCACAATTCTATTGTTAGGCAAAAAGATTCTTTCCCCCAAGAATCAGGCAGGCACAGACAATACTGAAGGGGGGTTATTCATGGTACCAGGAAGTCTGACAAGCAGCTTCAAAAATATGGTGCCACCGTGGCCAGTTATATACATTCTCTTTTCAAATAATTTGCATTTATCTGTACATACAGAGACAGACATTGTTACAAGTCAAGAGAGAACCCTGAACAAAGATAAAAATAAGAACAGTACGTACATATAGAGGTCATCCGAATTGCATCACACTTCTATGACTACCTTGCGGGGGAAGGAGGCAGGTGGTGGTGGGGGGGGTTGGGATGAATGTTTACAGGTATCCGGTGGGCTGTGAAGGGAGGGTTTATACTATTCTAAGAACTAAGTTACTGGGTGGGCATTGACCATATAAGCTTATCAATTGTTTACAATTGTCAGTGCCGTTTGTGCTACTGAAATATTCCTGCTTGCTTGTCTGGGCCCGATCCTGCTAACCTCACTGAACTGTCCCTTTCCATGGGCACAAGCTTTGTTCCTTCTTACCGATAAGCTGAACTAAGTTATCATGTATTGACAGAAATTATATCCTTGCTTCTCATCAGTTTCCGTCTTTTCTGCTGGCTGAATTTTATCTCCTTCCTGACAATTCCCTCCTTTTGACAAATCAAACTTTTAAGTGAGATGAAGTCAATACTTTAAATACTTTGATATACATGATCTGTTTTAGGGTTGCCCAAGGAAGGTGGGAGTGGGGAAGGAGAGGGGAATTGGGGAAAGGGGGTAAAGGTAGGGAAACATAGTAAGATTTTTAAGCATGTGAACAAAGTACCCACAGATGACAAGAGAGATTAGTAACACAAATATAGAAGCGACAGAAGCTGTTATTTGGACAATTGTCCACCAGGAGATGGGGCTGTAAATTGCATTACGAACAAGATCTTTCCGTCGGGTGATGGTTTGATTGGAGAGCTGAACTTGAATGCAACCTTTGGTGACATGGTTATGAATGGTTTTAAACGCAGACGCAGAAACCAGGACCACTTTGAGTAGTAGCTCCTAGGCTAGTTGAACTGGTGTATTGTTCAGGTATAGGTTATACCACCGAGGAGCCATTGTCATTCCAGTGAACACACAGCCAGGGAGGTGCACATCCCCTAGGGTAAATGATTCAGTAATCTGCAGGCACATGGAAGCATTTGCCTGGCACTGTAATGGTCCGTACATGTAATAAGATGCAGTGGTGATGAAACACCACTGAGTTGCGAATACTCATACAGCAACTTCACCATCTGCAAGAGGAAGGATATCCACAACAACAAAAGAGGACAAGGTCAGAGGGCGAAGGGTAGAACAGGAGCACACAATGTAATTGTCTGTTTCTGTGCAACAGTCCGAGGTTGTCATCAGTGTAGCATTGTCAGGGGATGGTGTTAGGTGTCCAGACAGCCCTATTTTCAGGGGCGGCTCCAGGCACCAGCGCACCAAGCGCGTGCCTGGGGCGGCAAGCCGCGGGGAGCACCCTGCCGGTCCCTGTGAGGGCGGCAGTGAGGCTACCTTTGGCGGCTTGCCTGCGGGAGGTCCGCCGGTCCCGCGGCTTCGGTGGCAATTCGGAGGCAGGTACGCCGAAGGCGCGGGGCTGGCAGATCACCTGCAGAAACACCGCCGAATCCGCGTTACCAGCGGATCTCCCGCAGGGGCGCCACCGAAAGCCACCAGCCTGCCGTTCTTGGGGCGGCAAAATACATAGAGCCTCCCCTGGGTGACCCATATCCAATTTATCAACATCCTTCTTGAATTGTGAATACCAGAACTGGACACAGTATTCCAGCAGCAGTTGCACTCTCCCAAATACATAGGTAAAGTAACTTCTCTACTACTCAAGATTCCCCTGTTTATACATCCAAGGATCAAATTAGCTCTTTTGGCCACAGCACCACTTTGAGAGTTCATGTTCAGCTGATTATCCACCATGACCTCCAAATCTTTTTCAGAGTCACTTCTTCCCAGGATGGACCTGGAAGTATGGCCTACATTCTCTGTTCTTGGATGTACACATTTACATTTAGCCATATTAAAATAATAGAATCATAGAATTGTAGGACTAGAAGGGACCTGGAAAGGTCACCTAGTCCAGTCCCCTGTACACATGGCAGGACTAAGTATTATTTAGACCATTTCTGACAGGTGTCTGTCCAACCTGCTGTTAAAAATCTGCAAAGATGGAGATTCCACAATCTCCCTACACAATTTATTCCAGTGCGTAACCACCCTGACATTTAGTAAGCTTTTCTTAATGTCCAACCTAAACCGCCCTTGCTGCAATTTAAGCCCACTGCTTCTTGTCCTATGTTCAGAGGTTAACGAGAACATTTTTTTTCTCCCTCGGCCTTGTAACATCCTTTTATGTACTTGAAAACTGTTATCATGTCCCCTCTCAGTCTTCTCTTTTCCAGACTAAACAAGCCCAATTTTTTCAATCTTTTCCCATAGGTCATGTTTTCTAGATTTTAATAGCTTTTGGTGATCTCCTCTGGACTTTCTCCAAATTGTGAACATCTTTCCTGAAATGTGGTGGCCAGAACTGGAGTTTAGGACTAATCAGCACGGAATAGAGCGGAAGAATTACTTCTCGTGTCTTGCTTATAACACTCGTGCTAATACAGCCCAGAATGATGTTTGCTTTTTTTGCAACAGCGTTACACTGTTGACTCATGTTTAGCTTGTGATCCATTGTGACCCCCATATCTTTTTCCGCAGTACTCCTTTCTAGACAGTCAATTCCCATTTTGTATGTGTGCAATCGATTGTTCCTTCCTAAGTGGAGTATTTTACATTTGTCCTTATTGAATTTCATCCTATTTACTTCAGACCATTTCTCCAGTTTTTCCAGATCATTTTGAATTTTAATCCTATCCTCCAAAGCACTTGCTACTTCTTCTATCTTGGTATTGTCTGCAAAGTTTCTAAGTGTACTCTCTATGCCACTCTGTAAATCATTGAGGAAGCTATTGAACAGAACTGGACCCAGAACTGATCCCTGCGGGACCCCACTCAATATGCCCTTCTATCTTGACTGTAAACCACTGATAACTATGCTCTGGGGACAGTTTTCCAACCAGTTATGAACCCACCTTATAGTAGCTTCATCTAGGTGGTATTTCCCTTGTTTGTTTATGAGACGGTCAGGCGAGACAGTATCAAAAGTCTTACTAAAGTCAAGATATACCTCAACTACCACTTCCCCCCATCCACAAGGCTTGTTACCCTGTCAAGGAAAGCTATTAGGTTGGTTTGACATGATTTGTTCTTGACAAATCCATGCTAACTGTTACTTATCTTCTAAGTGTTTGCAAATTGCTTCCTTAATTGTTTGCTCCATTATCTTTCTAGGTACTGAAGTTAACAGTGCCTATTGTTTACTCGTGCCCAGCTTACCAAATGATCCAGACAACTCTGAAACATTGCTGTATCCTCTCTATTTCAGTACCCCAGTTGAATCATATCTCACCTTTGTTTAAATTCACTTGAGTTATCCCAGCCTGCAACTGGTCAGAGCCCTAACTACTGGCTTACAGAGCGATCCTCACTCTCTCTACGTCTGGCCTAATACACCATGGAACAGCTTCAACAGGAAAGACTGAAGACGTCTTGCCTAGAATATCCCTTAGTCCAGTGGCTAGGATATGCTTTGCACAGCAAGTGACTCAGTTTCCACAGTGGGGAGAAGGGGGTTTGAGCCCCAGCTTCCCCTCATCCTAAGAGAGAGCACTAACCACTGGGCTAAACCCCAGAAGGCCAGGCCTGACTACCTTCATTCTGGGTGTGTTCAGGCATGCTCTGAGATCGGATCCTGCAGGTGAGATAGGCAGGGGAACACCTAATTTGAGGATCCCGCTGGTGTTAGGTGTGAGCCTGGGTGCATAGACTGTTGGCCTTGCAGGTTTTTAGGTGCTCAGAGACTTTACCAGTGGAAAGTTAGGCACCTACACCATGTGGTTAAAGGTATCTGGGTGCCTAGTGGGATTTTGAAATACACCCGTGTGCCTAACTCCCACTGGAATCAATGAATTTTAAGCACCCGGATAATTTTGAGAATCCCACCAGATGCCTAAGTACCTTTAACCATCTGTCTCTTATGGACTGTAGCCATCTACGGGGTAAGGCAGTAACTGAGCGGGGGGGAGGGGGTTGGGATTGTCCGTGGGGCATAAATGTTGGACTGAGGTGCCTAAAATGGCATTTGGGGGCCTAAACCCCTTTGTGAGTCAAGCCCTTAGTCAGTAAAATGACCAGATAGGGCTTAAAATAAACACAAGCGGCAAGTCTGTGGAATAAGAAGATGCCAATAAAGTAGAGCCCCATGTACCTGTATTGTATACCCTGTAATTACGTGGTGATGGAGAAGAAAGGGAAGGGTCTTGTTATTTTCCTGAGCTGCAATATGTGTCCTGCAGAGTAATAAATAAAAGCAACCTCCACCTATCTTATGTTTCTCCTTCCATGACCATTGTCCATGGGCCTTCTCTCTGCAGTGTACATCTACAGAAGAAATGTCCAACCGAACCGCCGTGACCGAATCTCTTCTCCTAGGATTCTCTGACATGCGGGAAAAGCAGATTTTACATTTCCTGGTGTTTCTAATACTTTATCTGGCAGCTGTGGTGGGGAATCTTCTCATCATCACAGTGGTAGCACTCGACCATCATCTTCACACCCCCATGTACTTTTTCCTGGGCAACTTGTCCTTCCTCGACCTCTGCTACATCTCTGTCACCGTCCCGAAGTCCATGGCTGACTCCCTAACCAACAACAGACACATCTCTTTCTCTGCATGTGTCACCCAAGTCTTTCTGGTTGTAACTTTTGCAGTAGCAGAGCTGTCCTTTCTCACAGTGATGGCATACGACCGCTACATTGCAATCTGCCACCCTCTGCATTACAAGGTGACCATGAGCAGAGATGCATGCACACAGATGGCAGGGGTATCATGGATCAGCAGCATGATGTGCTCTGTATTACACACTGCAAATACCTTTAGGTTACATTTCTGCAGGTCCAATGTTATCGCTCAGTTTTTCTGTGATATCCCACAGTTGCTTAAGATCTCTTGCTCTGATACACACGCTAATGTAAATGTCATGATTGTCCTTGGGTCACTTCTAGATGTGGTCTGCTTTGTATTGATAATTGTATCGTACATTCACATCTTCTCCACGGTGATGAAAATCCCCTCTGACCATGGCAGGTACAAAGCCTTCACCACCTGCATCCCACACCTGGTGGTTTTTTGTTTATTTATTGGTACAGCATCATTTATGTACATGAGGCCCAGGTCCATGTCTTCAACATCTCTGGACCTGCTGGCTGCTGTGTTGTATTGTGTGGTGCCACCACTAATGAATCCAATCATTTACAGTCTAAGAAACAAAGAGATAAAAGGTTCTCTGTGGAAAATGCTAGGCAGGCTTTTTTCTCAAGAAAAATGAATTCCTTACACTGAACTCGAATAAAGTATTCCCCTGTGGCACCTTATGTAATTGGTCAGGTTTGTTTGAGGACCAGTAAATGTTCATGTTAGGATCACAACCTGATGTTTTGCATATTCTGATTTTGGCTGAGAGTTTTTAAAATCTAAAGGAAATAGGGTAAAAAAATTTAAGCATCTAAGTGCCTCAGGAGTCAAAGGCTACGTCTTCACTACCCGCCGATCCGGCGGGTAGCAATCGGTTTATCGGGGATCGACTTACCGCGTCTCGTGAGGACGCGGTAAAATCGATCCCTGATCGCTCTGCCGTCGACTCCGGAAATCCACCTCGACAAGAGGCGGCAGCGGAGTCGGCGGCAGCGCGGCAGCGGTCGGCTTTCCCCCGTCCTCACCACCAGGTAAGCCGACCTAAAATACGCAACTTCAGCTACGGTATTCACGTAGCTGAAGTTGCGTATCTTAGGTCGGAACACCGCTGTAGTGTAGACCTAGCCAAAGTCAAATTTTCAAGCAAGACTTTGTCATGTTAGAAAATGTTACTCTTAGGTGTTCAAATCCCAGTGAGTTTTTGATAGAATGTGGGAGTCTAATCATCTTTGGTCCCTTTGAAAATGCCAGGAAGAGCTTATCAAAATATTTCCATTTTCTGTTTCAAAATATCTGCTTAAAATGAACTTCAAAATATCATTTACAAATATGTTTCCCATTTCAAAATGCTAATTCCAAATGTTAAAAAAAGAAATGGCATTTTGATGTAAAATATCATTTCAATGTCATTTTAAGGTCAGACTGACACTTCCTCAGGACATTTTTCATTTTGATCTGATATTTCTACATGATAAAATTTTCATCAAAACGTCAAAGCATTTAGTTTAAAAAAATCAATTTTTTTAATTTTGATATTTTCTAATTAAATTCTTGAGAACTTTTCATTCTGCGAAAAATTTTGATATTGCTACTCTTCACTCCTATTTAAGATGAAAATAAATATCAAGATATTGGAATTTATCTCAAGACAGAAATTCTATTTTCCAACCAGCTCCAAACCCAGTCTTTTG